TTAAATTAAAATCTTTAATTCTTACTTTTAAAAAGTGTTTTAAAAGTGACAAGATGATTTCCTGTCACTATTCTTTTTTTTAAAATAAGTTTTCTTAGCCCTTTTTCTGTATTTATTTTTCCCTACAAACTTTTTGCATTGTGTACTCCTTGGGTAAAATTTCGCATACCTCAAATAGTTGGCAGTCCAGCAATGCTTGTCTTGTGGCTTTTGGTATACCACTTCCTGTGTTAGATTTCTGTGGGTCACCAGGAGACACTCCTCGGCAGTTAGATGGCTTCAACTGACACGGCAAGTTCTTCTCACCTTTAGGGCAGATTACTTCTCTTGAAGCTGTTAGTGGGGTAGAGATAGCAGATTATCACAGCAATACTTATGCAGTTGATGCCTGACTCTTAGGGAGAGAAGTATTCAAGGAATTCATGGTTCTTCTCCTCGGGCCAAGCTTTTGTCAAGATTCTTAAAGATCTGAGCCTGTCCTCTGTAACCTGTTGGGCTCAGGAGAGATACTTAGTTGGCTTAGTGCTGGGACTGGAGATCAGCAGGAGTATCTTCAAGCTTCTATCCTTCCAAACCCTCTAGGCTAACCTCACTCCATTTCTGGTCTGTATTTTATTTCTTTTTAATTTTCATTTCAATTTAGTATGAACTTTAAGTTACAGGTAATCAGTGGGATTAATGTACTGTATCCTTTAATTTTTTTTCTTTTTTGTGTTGTTTGTTCATTTCATTATCAGATATTTATTAAGTACCGTGTGTATGGCAACATTTAGGCCTATGAAGATGTGTCACCCAGTCCTTGTCTTCTCAGCAGCATTTTGCAAAAAATTTCTTTTCTTTCTGCTTAAAATACTTTCTTCACTTAGTATTTACATTTTCTAGGTTTTCATTTTCTTCATCTTTGGCTTTCTTCAGTTTCTTATGCTTGATTCTTTTCTTCTGGACCTCCTAAATGATGGACCCCCGGAGCATAATCAATCCTTAAGCTTTTCTTCTGAGCTCTATTTCATTCCCTAAGTCATCTCACTGAATGTTGTGGCTTTAAATAGCATTGATACATTGACATCTCTGAAGAGTATATTTTATTCAGCACTGGTATTTTCCTTGAATTTCAGCCCCAGATAGCCAACTGCCATATCTCCAGTGGGCTATCTAATAGGCATGTCAAAATTCACAAGACCAAAACATATTGTAACTGTTTGGCCCCCTTGATTTTGCATTTAGTGGTCCATCTGCTCGTTTTTCAGATTATGACATGGCTAGCTTCCTTATGTTATTGAGGCCTGTTTCTCCTTTACTTTTCTTCATAGTAACATTATTCTTTACCACTATCTTACCAATACTTTATATTATACTTGACATATATAACACATATATAGTTAATTTTCCAGATGCTGAGAGCTGTTAATCTCCTATTTTTAGAATCAATTTCTTCTCATATTTTCTGTGGTTTTTGCTTTATTTGATTCATTACAACTGACAAATTATGTCATCATTGAATTTCTTTTTTAGAGACAGGGTCTCTCCCTGGTGCCTTCTTGATTTTCTGTCTCAAATAATTTAGAAGGTATGTGGTATGCTTTTATTTCTATCTTTGTTTAATTTTAAACTTTAAATAGTATTACTTTTTTTTCTTTTTATCAACTTCAGAAACATTATTCTTTCCTAGGAACTGTGAAAGATGAAGGAACTACCTCACTTCCGTGACATCTAACATTCCCCTCCCCAAATTTATTATACTTCAGGATTTCTGTGGTTCCAATTTATCATAGTTATAATGTATTAGATTTTCCTTCATGATTTATAACATGTATATCAGTGTGATTTTTAAAAATCATTCTCGTTCTTTAGCTTTTAATTGTACTGTAGTCTTTTCAGACTCAGTTCATATCTTTACTCTTCTGTGTTCCTAATTCGTTTTTGAGAAAAAGCTTTTTTTCTGATAGGAAAGGAATTTGTGTTAATTTTAGAAAATTTGAAAAAAAACACAAGCACAAAGAAAAAAAATCACTTGTAATCGCCCTTTGAGAATTATATTAGTAACTTAGTATATGTTCTTTGCCTTTTCTCCCTGTGTATGAATGTTATCACTTTGCAACACTTGATTCTTTACATGCACAGTTAACTACTTTTCCCCTTCACTTACTATGTATTGAACATTTTCCTATGACATTAAAGTCAAGCTGTAGAATACATAATAATTTACATGGTATTCTGTATAGACATGTTATAATTTAATTAATCCTACATTGTTAGTTTATTTACAGCTTGCTCTCCTAAAGTGTGCTTTGATGAATGTGGATGAGTTATATCCCCTAGGTTTTTTTTTTTTTTTTTTCCTTTGGATAAAGTTCTAAGAAGTGGAAGAATTCTGAGGCTTAATAGGGTGATTAAGAGCATGGACTTTGTAGTCTGACTGCCTTGGGTTCAAATCCCTACTTAGGTGCATACATTTAGGCAATTTATCTTTTTCTTTTTCTTTCTTTCCTGCCTTCCCTCCCTCCTTTCTTTTCTTTCCTTTTCTTTTTTCTTTTCTTTCTCTTACCTTTTTCCTGCACTATGTTTCAATTTCTTAATTTGTATACTTCAAAGATAATGGTTTATACATAGAAAACATTGTCTGGGACTCAAACACAGTCATTGTCATGGTTGTCATCATTTTTATTTAGAGGATGTACATATTTGAAATGTTTTTGCTATCGATTAGATTTTTCTCCTGAAAAGTTACATTAATTTGCATTCCTATCAGCAAAATATAAGAGTAACATTTTACCAGCTCTGGCCGACAACTGCTGTTATAATTGTAAAATGTAGTTATTTTTGAGGGTGTGGGACTAATTTTATAGGGGCAATATATATGTTTGTCTTAATCTCCAATTTTTGATTATTGATTTTGGATTTTTTTTTGACCATTTTCATATGGGGGTATTTATATTTAAGTGCTCTTTAAATATTCAAATTTTAGTTAGCGCAATGTATTTTATGTTGCCTTTATTTTTTCTAGTTGGCTGTTTGCCTGTTAATTTGATTTTTAGTTGTTTTATGTATTTGTGTTTTGCCTTTGTGGAACATGTGTTAAAGGCAGTTGTTTTCCAAACACTGTGCTTTTTAAAAAAATTCATTCATCTATTTTTGATAATAAGTCTCTTATTTGTGATGGTATAAATAAATCTGTAATTATTAAGCACCTTCTCTTTGCCAGTATAGATCTAACTTTTAAAAAATAGAATTTTTATTGGAGAATAATTTTAGATTTATGGAAAAGTTGCAAAGATGGCACAGAGTTACTATATATGTTCTTTACTTAGTTTCCCTTGTTGCTGACGTCCTGCATTACCATGATACGTTTGTCACAACTAAGATGTCAAGGGTACACTACTATTAACTAAATGCCACATTTTATTTGGATTTCATTAGTTTTCCCACAAATTATTCTTTCTCTGATCCAAGATCCCGCATTACATTTAGTTGTCATGTTCATTACTGTCCTCTAATCTGTGAGTTTCTCAGTCTTTCCTTGTTTTTTTTTATATTGAGTTTGGAGGAATATTCATTTGTTTCATTGAACCTTCCTCTGATGTTTTCCTGCTGGTTAGACTGGGGTTATATCAATATGGACTCGTGTATATTTTACCACTTAATTTTTTTTAGCATTGGCCTGTCATTCTCTGTGACCCTTTGACATGATCCATACCGCCTCCTTCCTCTGCCTCTAAAAAAAAAAAAAAAAAAATGCTTCTTTTTTTCTTGTATAAGATACTCCAGGTTTGTCTTCTGTATTCTCTTACCTCGCTCTAGAATCAGCCATTTCTCCAGCTACTCTTGTTTTCTTTTATTGGAGGATGGTATGTAGAAACAAATATCAGGGTGCTGGGTGTGCTTTCGGGTACTGGTGTGTCAGTGCTTCTAGTCCCCCTCAGTGGACAGTTAGAAAATACTGTATGTGCACACACACCCCTATAATTATTTATTTATATTATATTACGGTAAACACAAGTTTGCACTGATGTCTCTGATTCTAATCCAGTACCACAGGGTTCCTTCTGCTCTCCCTCCCCTTGCTTAACTGTAACGTCCCCCTCCAAAAGTGAGAAACCTGGTTCCCACATCTACCAGCCATTTACTTACTTGTTCAACCCCAGTATGTATGTAACATAGGAATTAACCCATATTCCTTGTGAAAAACAACTTTACCAAATCAAGCAGTGTTTATGTATAGCTCTGCTTGCCTTTAGCCTTACAGTTTCCAGTGCAATCACCATCTTCTAAAGTTACTTATATCAGTTCCTTTTCCACTCACAGCTCTGCTTTTGATGGTATGCTTAAAAGTGTATCTTATTCCAAAGATGTACTTTATATATGTATAAAAAAAAGATGCATGTATGATATATGTAATGAATATATAATGTAACAATATGATTGCATGCAATATTATATAATGCATGCTACATATAATATGTGTATATGGTATTTTATTTATTTTTACGTATTTTATTGCTTTATTTTTACCTTGAAGTCTTTTTTTGTTTTAAAGACAGAGTCTTGCTATGTTGCCCAGGCTGGAATTGCTATTCACAGACATGATCCATCATAGCACACTGTGGCCTTGAACTCCAGGCCTCAAGTCTTCCTCCAAGTAGCTGAGGTTACAGACGTGTGCCACTGCACCCAGCTATTTTTACCTTAAATTCCTAAATATGTATATCTAAGGTTCATTTTGACACTTAGTGTAAAGTGTTAATAGAACTTTTTATTTTAAACAAAAGTGGCTTATGAAAAGTCTTGATTTTTCTCTGTTGTTGAACATACCACCTTTGTTATATTTTAAAATCTTGTATCTACTAGAAGTTTTCTGTACTTTTCTTACTCTGTTTTGTTTTCTATTCTTATTCAAGTTCCAAACATTACATAACTTTGTGATAATTTCAGCATCTGGTAGATTATTCCTGTTTTTGCCTATTCATGTTCTTTTAATTTGTTAATACTTTTCTTTATTCCAGGAACATTTTAGTGGACAAACCAAATGACCAATCTTCAAGATGGTCTTCAGAGAGCAATTATCCTCCCCAGGTAAGATTACATGTATCCCTTAATGCTGTTTAGAAGTGAACATTTAAATAAACACTCAATTGATACTAGTTATCTGGAATCTCCTAATAGTTTATTCTCTTTTTGAGATTGTGAGGTAAATTTTTATTTTCTCTATTTTTGCTTGTTTATTAAATTTTGGAAGAATTTTTATCTCATAGGCAAATGCAGTGTGAGATTTGATGAAACATGAACTTTTACTTCTGTCTACCAGAACAGTTACACTCAAGTTATTGTGTAAATGTTTAAGGAAATGTTAGTAAATTGAACTTTGACTCATGACTATCTTATGGGGAAAATAAACTTAAATAGTTTATTATTTTATTAAAATATTATATTTCATATTAAAATAATATTTTAAATGACATCAGGACCATGTGCTAAATTTCTTTTCCCTGGCAAGTAGTGTCTATGGTTGACTGAATTTAAAATCATTCTTTCAGTTATATGCTTTCAGCATTAGTATTTATAACGTACTAGGCACACGTATGTCCATATCCTTGAAGAAATTAATGCTCTGCTAGGTAAAGCAAATGGGTAAATAATACTTACTTTATTTTTTAATTGTAGTGTAATTCATGGAGATATATATATGTGTGTGTATTTTTTTTTTCTCTTTGCCTACCTATTTGGATCCCCTGGTGTTTACATGTTTTATTGCAAAATACATGTCTAAAGAATATTTATTTATAATTTTTGGGAGCCACAGTGGCTCAGGCCTGTTGTCCTGGTGTATAAGGAGGTGAGGCTAGGTGTTCTAGGCGTTCGAGGCCAGCCTGGGCAACATAGAAACCTTTGATCTATGCTTAAAAAAAAAAAAAAAAAGTGGCCAGGCGCGGTGGCTTATGCGTGTATTCCCAGCACTTTGGGAGGCCGAGGCGGGCAGATCACAAGGTCAAGAAGTCGAGACCATCCTGACCAACATGGTAAAACCTTGTCTCTTCTAAAAATACAAAAATTAGCTGGGTGTGGTGGTGCATGCCTATAGTCCTAGCTACTCAGGAGGATGAGGCAACAGAATCGTTTGAATCCAGGAGGCGGAGGTTGCAGTGAGCCAAAATTGCACAACTGCACTCCAGTCTGGCGACAGAGTGAGACTCTGTCTCAAAAAAAAAAAAAAAAAGTGTGTATATATATATTTATAATTTTTATATGTAGTGTAAAGAATAAAACAAATAACTTGTTTATTCATCAGCCATGTTTAGAAATGGAAAGTGATTGCTATCTTTTGAAGCCTCCTATGAGCCCCCTCTTATCTCTTTCCTCTAACCCCTCCCCTGTAACTATAATTGATGTTTTATTAAGCATTTTAAAATAATATTCCATAGATATAGCATATAAATATTTTATGATTTAGTTTTTTTGGCTTTGACTTTGTAAAAGTAAAATATAAATTAATTCAGTTGTTTATAAATTTTCTGTGACTTGCTGTTTTTTAACATGATTTTTATTAATGTTGTTATATATAATTGCAGTTTGTTCATTTTCACTACCATATAGTATTCCTGTGTATAAATATGCCAAAATGTATTTATCCATTTTGCTGTTGATAAGCATTTAGGCTTTTTACAGTTCTGCTGTGAACGTTCTTATATGTTGTCTCCTGGTACACATGTGTAAGAGTTTCTTTAAGGTATATATACCTTGGAGTAGAATTGTTGAGTCATAGGGTGAGTATATGTGTATTGAACTTTATCAGGTAGTAGAAAACTGTTTTACAAAGTAGTTGTAGAATTTATCCTCTCGCTGGGTGTGTATGGAAGTTGCTGTTGGATCACGTTCTCCTCATCACTTCTATGGGTGGTTTTTATATTTTGCCAGTCTGGTGGATTTTTCATTTTAACTCATTGTGGTTATAATTTGCTTTTTCCTATTTACATTAAAATCTCTTTGCATACGTTAATGGACTTACACTGTGTTTTTAATCATGCTTTTCTTGATTCACTTTTTCATTTTACTTATTAATAATTTTAGTGCTTGAGTTGTGGTACGTTAGTGTTTTTCATTTAGTTATTTTTATTTCTTGTTAATGATCTTTTTTCTGCAAAAAAGAAAATTCAGTGATCATAACTGAAACTATGATAATCTTATTATTTTGAAATTGTCTTTATTTGTTATTAGACTATATTTTGAAGGTAGTAGAATGTAATGCTTTTCTTAACTTTTTTGTTTGCTTATTCATTCATTAAAAAATTATTTAGTAAGCATCTATGAAGTGCCAAACTTCAGGTATTTGAATACTGTAGGGAATTCAATATTGTCTCCTCTTGATGAACCATGGGTATTGCATCAGATACCCTGAAACATTTCAATGTGATAAGTCCTATAGTAGAAGTTATCTGAAGTTTTTGTAATGAAGAAGGACTAATTTGTCATGAAAATAAATACCATGCAATCTAGTTTTCTTCATTGTAGTTATTACTCAAATATAACTGGGGTTTTCCATGGCCAATCTCAAGGGACAACATTTTTACCAGAAAAGAAAAAATAAAATTGAAAGCAATTTCAGTGTTTACTTAGTCTTATAAGAAACTGCCATGTTGGATGGAATGGGTATAGTTTTATTTTATTTTATTTTACTTTTGAGATTGAGTTTTGCTCTTGTCACCCAGGCTGGAGTGCAGTGGCATAATCTTGGCTCACTGCAGCCTCCACCTCCTAGGCTCAAGTGATTCTCCTGCCTCAGCTTCCCGAGTGGCTAGGATTATAGGCGTGCACCACCACGCCCAGCTAATTTTTGTATTTTTAATAGATACTGGATTTCGCCATGTTGGCCAGGCTGGCCTCGAATTCCTGACCTCGGGTGATCTGCCCACCTTGGCTACCCAAAGTGCTGGGCTTACAAGCGTGAACCATAGTTTTCATGTATCGATATGTAGCAGAGTCTTGCATTTCTAGTGGTTGTAAGCTATAATATTTCTTTCCCACTCTTGATCTGAAGGTTCCCAAATGCACTGAATAAAAAACAGATATATCCACGGCCGGATGTGGTGGCTCATGCCTATAATCCTAGCACTTTGGGAGGCCAAGACGGGTGGATCACTTGTGCTTAGGAGTTTGAGATCAGTCTGGGCAACCTGGTGAAACCCTGTCTCTACAAAAAATACAAAAATTAGTCAGGCATGGTGGCATGTGCCTGTAGTCCCAGATACTCAGGAGGCTGAGTTGGGAGGATTGCTTGAGCCCAGGAGGTCAAGGCTGCAGGTAGTCGAGATCATGCCACTGCACTCCAGCCTGGGTGACAGAGTGAGACCCTGTCTCAAAAAAAAAAAAAATACATGCACGTGCACATATACACACATATGTGCACGTGCACAAATGAAAACTGGGGCTTTTTTTTTTTTTTTTTTTCTGGAAGCTGGAACCTTAAAGCAATTCATTCTCAGGATAAGAATTAAACAGAATAAATCCCTACCTCCTGGGGACTGTGGAAAGAATTGCATTGACACTCAGTAGAGGAACGGAAAATAAGGAAGAAAACTCATCTCGGAGAGGTTATAGCTGTGTATTGGTTTTTGTTCACATTTGGTAGTTGGATTCTCAATACTTGACTATCCATTAAACCTTGTGGTATGATTTGAGTTTAAAGCGATTGAGGATGAATGGTACGTTTAAGGTTCTCAGCAGAAGCAAATGCAGATCTTCTCTGAAAATAGTTACCTTTATTTCTAGGCCTCAGGTATTATCCACAAATCATTATTAAAGGAAATTGAGCAGTACACACTCAAAGATAACTAAGTATAGCAGAAAATAAGATACTTTAAGAACTAGCAGAACAAATAGCAGAACCCCCTTCCAGAATTTTAGATATTAGAATTAAAACTACTGAAAGATACTGGAATTAAGTTAACTACTTGTATTTAAAGAAATAAAAGAAATTGGACACTAAAAAGTGATGTGGCAGATTTGAAAAATAACCAAATAAAACTTCTATAAATGAAAAATATAATTTAAAAAAGTCAGTTTTGACAAGACTTTCCACTAAGCACAGATAGAAAAGATGAAATAGAAGTGAAATTTTAAAAAATATTTTTGAAGGTAGTATATTGAAAATAAGGTGGTAAAGAGTGATGGAAATGAATAAGACCTACTATTTGACAGCACAACAGGCTGACTGTAGTCGATAATAACTATATATATTTTAAATAACGTAAGGAGTGTAATTGGATTGTTTGTAACTCAAAGGATAAATGTTTGAGGTTAGGGGTAACCGCATTCTCCATGATGGCTTATTTCACATTACATCCCTATATCAAAACATCTCATGTACCCCGTAAATATGTACACCTACTGTGTGCCCACAACATTTTTTTTCAAAAGTGATGGGGCCAAGATTTAGAAGACTATGGGAATCCAAAAAGAACTGCTTGGGGCCACTTTTCTGTTGAGTATCCTAAACAAGTTCTAAGAGATTAAGAAGCCGAAATAGCACCTTTGGCAAACACTTGGGGCCAGGGAGATACAGGTTAGAAGCTAGAACCTGGGGTGTGGTAGGGTGGTAGGCTTCTCTTGCTCTGGGTTAAGTCCCTGAAGCTATGTCTGAAGAGAAAGCGTGAACCAGAAATAGTCGGGCCCTCACAGGGGGTGAAGCCCAGTTTCGTATCATCCCAGTACTTGAAACTGGATTAAAATAATCAAGAATTGATAGTATCCCTAGCAATAGACCTACAGTAGAAGATATACTTTTTTAGGAAGCTGATACCCTAGGCATCTAGTTACTTTTAGTTTTTCATATTTGGTGTCTATCAAAATAGAAGGATTTACAGATAATAGGAGTTTTAGATATAAGTCTTAAAATAAGTCCCCTTGCTATGTGAAAGGAAAAAAGGAGATGAAAATTAATATTGAAAATTTTGGCAAAGAACCGAAAACTGTATAAAAAAGGACCAAAATAGAAATGAAAAAGACAATACCCAAAATGCAGATTGCATTTATGAGAATAAAATAAGAATGTATGCAATTATTCTTATAAAAGCATTTTC